GTTCCCTGACGTGAACATAAAAAAAAAACACAATGCACTGAAGTTTAAAAACGTTAAAGATAAACGCCAGCTTTAGTAAATATCCCCCTAACGGACACAGTTGCATGCAGATTCCTGGTGAGACACAATCAGGGCTCCTACTCTGTCATATCATAGTCACAGTCAAAGTCATAGTTCTAAAAAAATATCTCTTCCGACTGTTTCCAGTCTTTAGGTGACAATTATTATTAAATATTAGTATATTTAGTGAAAACACAAATAATATATATTACTCTAATATAATCTGTCTTTTAAGATTTGGACAGTATGCAGCTCTGCATTTAAGTTTGGACACAGTCATTGACTCTTTCTATACTCAGCTTTAACCTTTCATTGTTTTCAGAAATATTACATTTAAACATCTGACAACTCACTAAGCATGAATGTCAAAAAGACTAAATTCACCTTAACGTGCAAGGAAGGCTAATTATTTCCAGAAATCCGAAAAAGCCCCGAACGGGACCCATGAAAACACGGTGTTTTTGCCAGGAATGTGAACACATACCTTCTGACATTGTTGTAGATTAAATCAGCCGGGCGGCAGTGGAGCACCAAAGGTTTCACAGGAAGTCCTGCATAGGACACACACAAAATGCAGTGTTTACAGCCACGAGGGGAATTATAGAAGACGATTTGTTCACAAACTCTCCAACGTCCTGCTGAATTAATATTCTAGACTTCAGTGTTGGCCAATTATCTGACTCAAATCTTTTGTTTTACGAGGCTAACATAAACATTCTGCTTGCTAGCTTTAGTCAAAATAGCTCTCCACAATTAAGTAACCTGTCCCCTTCTCCCACGCACAGAAAAGCTGGCGTGGACAGTTACTACCCTTTTTTCTCATTAGCTATATCGAAAAAGTTGTCTAAGACTGGCAAAGGAGCTGTTAAACTAAAGTCAGTTTTACCTTTGCTGGGCTACGGGGTCTTTTTCGTTTGTTTTGACGGAAATTTAGTTTCCAACAAAAAGGAGATGAAGTTGTACTTTTAAAGGAGCCGCCGGCTGTTAATGCGGTTCAAAGGTCTCCAGATATCCTCAAACACACCCTAAAACACTAAGGAGGGAGCCCTGCCAGCTAGATAAGACTTGATAAGCTCTTAAAGGGAGACAGAGAAAACCCTACTTTACACTATGATGTGCAAAACACAAAGCAAAAATAAACTCTGTTGGAAGTTTATTCTATCCTATCCTATTCCCTTGGCTTATTTTTTAAGTTAGCTGTTACATCTCCATTTTCATTCAACCATTCATCCATGATGAGGAGTTTAAATCCCGCTTTGTGAGTTTGATTTACTAATCATAACTAATACTCACTATGCTTGCCTTACTTTCTCTCTCTTTTTTTTGTAGCCCACAATAAAATCAACCAAAAGCAGTGGGGGGGTCACAGCCACAGAAAAAAATGACCACTTCAGTTCTGTTATTGAAATTGTGTGAAGTTTATCATCCATCCGTCTGAGTCCAGCTGTCTATTATCAGGTAAAACTGAATTAAAATGAAGTAACCTCATTAAATGTTGTGTAACATGCACAACTGTGGAATCAGTAACATGAATGCGCAGGTTATACAAGAAATCAAATTCAAGAACCCTTGGAACACATTAAAATTAGAAATTCTAAACTAATTTAAAACTCAAAGCACAAGCAGCGGGTGTTCATCAGTGTGAGAGATCATGGCTTTATTGAACAATGAAATGATTCCCAACTGCCCTGTTCATTTAAACAGAGTTGTGTCAAATATGCACATTCATCGTGAAGTATATTGTATTAAGGTTTACTCACTCCAGTAATAAACTGATCATCTAATTGCTAAAGCAAAGGGGAAAGTGCCTCACACAAGTGGAAATGGGTACCCGCTCAGTGCTTGCTGACTCAGAGCTTTCATGACTGAAGTTCACCTTCTTGGTTAACCATGTAAGTCACACAAACCTTTGAACCTAATAACAAAAAAATCTGATAAGCCTTTTTAACAGTTTAGAAGATAGAGTCATTTAATTGTGATTAGCTCTTTCTCTATCTAATATTTTGAATACAGAAGGTTGATGAATTGACCCGCATTTGAATGAGGATATTTTTTCTCATTAACAGTGCTGCTTTACCTGCTTTGAAGCTTCATGTGCATTCATGCAAGCATGTTGATTTCAAGAAACTCTCCTAAAGTTTGTCCATCCATCGATTTTTTTAAACCGCTTATTCCAAATAGGGTCATGGGGGTGGGGGTGAGTACTATTCCGGCTGCCATTGGCCGAGAGGCAGGTTCATTCCGCAGGTTTTAATAAAAAATGTCAAAACGTTTCTCCTGGAAATGAAGGACTTGATTGAACTATTGATGTTTTTTGCTTTAATGTAAATGATATAATTCTTTAGCTAAACAATGTGCAGCTACGTTTCTGCATTTGATACATCTCTATACGTACCAATAGCAATGTTGAATTAAGCTCAAATTTGAAGACGTCACCTTCATCAGAATATAACAGGGTTTTTATTAATGTACAAAAAGGATTGGGTTATGTCGGTTTATGCCCACACAAGCCGCCCAGAACTTGTGATAATATCACCAAGTGACATATATTTCAAGATGCATACATTAGGGTGTCGTGCTGGCTTCCAAATACAGTAGGCTCCTCCTACCGCCCACCAGAGCACTGGGAAATGTCACTAGGTAATAATTGCCATGGGGATGGCAGAGCCTGGCGGATCTGGGGGCGGTTTGACTGAGGTCCGTCACTGAGGTGTGAGCTCTGTCACGGACCAGCGTTTTCCAAACCCAACGCTGCATCAATCAGTGACCCGATGGATTTGACAAGAGTGAGCATTTTAAAAGAATATTTATTTATTCATCTGTTTGTTTGTTTGTTTATTTATTCACTCATCCATTCACTCCGATGAAGGTCATACAACTGCTTTGGCCTTTTAAGTTTAAATGTTACCTGAAGGTCAGAGTGTTTGAACTGTGTCCTCCCACCGACCACATTTGCTCTGAGATACCTACACAAAGCCATAAGATTACAGCACATACCCACACACACAGACACGAGTAGAGTACAAAATGTACAGTAGTAGGACACAGATCGATAAAGGTTATAAATAAGCCATGTGGACTATGAATTTTGAGCAAATAATAGTAATAATTATGACAGAATAAAATCAAATATTAAGTTACGAAATTGCATCCCAAATGTTTTACAAACATAGAAACTCTTTATTACAACAACGTCTCTCGCTCGGGTCTAAGCTATGTCTTTTTTTACCCTGTTTTTTTCAATGCACATTCATGTTGTAGTAGTACAGTGTAAGTCATTCTTTATTTCAGTCACAGCATCAAAGAAAATGACCTCTGACCAAATAAAAATCCTTACAGAAATCTTCAATTTGATTCACAGTTTGGGAGATAAAGATGAGATGACAAGAAGGTGTCAAGCTCAGCAAGCTATTGATTTTTGATTGCCATTTTCACAACAAAAAAAAAGAAAGCAAGTAACACCCTCTGAGAAAATTGTTTTAAAAACCCTGTTTTCACTGTTGATAAGAAATACTCTTTGTATTACTCGGTCAGGTTAATATGTACATATATATTTCTGCGTTTGTATCTCAAACATTTTGCTATAAAATACCACTTCAACACATCATCAAGCTGAAAAAATTCACAAAGTCTGCACCCTTACTTCTAATAAAAACTCAACAAGCATTGTCTCTCTCTGCTTTAGTCCTCTCATAACATTGACAGTGTAAAGAAACAGTACCTGACAGAATGATGATGACTAAAAAATGTCATTTCCTGCACTGAGGTACTGTAAAAACCCTGATGAGCAGGGCAGTCAAATGAATTCCCCTTTAAGTCCCCCGCTCGAAAACACAACAAAGTCAGTTACCGCATACTTGTAAAAAAAAAAAAAAAAAAAAAAAACAACAAAGAAAAGTCTTGAATTTAGTCACAAATCCAAACATTTACCAATAGAAAAAGAAAAATGCACACACCAAGTAGCTTTCACAGTCCAACACAATCCAAACCTACAGTTCTACAAAACATAACACACAGTTTAGAACATCAAACAATGTGAGGGATAGAGCTGTATTTTTATTTTAATGCAGTGACTCGAGGAAATACTGTTGGTTTTTTTCAGATCTACATCCAAATATACTGATAAATACATCACATAGCAGGAGTTTTATGACCCTGAAGTTGAGTTATGACTGTGTGATCTCAGTCCTGCTTTTGACATTTAAAAAAAATATGGGTTTGGAAATAAACTTTAAATTGTAAACTACTTGCAGCAGTTACATGACAGGTGAGGCCACACATGTGCACATCCTAATCTAATGTAACACCATTAGTAAAAAGACTACAGTTGCGTTGCCAGCTGATGAGAGTTGGACAACTTCTCAATACTACTCATTCTCTGTATTTTATTGCTGTCATATTTGACTCTATTCAAAAATGACTGTTCAGACATGGAAAATGTTTGTGTAGATCAGCTGAATTATCATCACTGAAAGGTAATGGCACTTTACTCAAAAGCAGAACAGCACAATAATGAGATCATCTGAAAGGAGGCCCAAAAGTGGGACCGCAGATGGGTTCAAAAGCGATGTTTCAAGAAATTTTCTTTAGAAAAATATTGTTCAATTCCCATCAAAAAGTCATCCCCCTCATTAAAGTTATCTGTTTGAAATGTTGTACTGTCATGAGTTCACTGAGTTATTTACTACGTGTAGTGAAGCAATTGTGTGAAAAGTAATTTCACCCAACATATCCAACTGAAACCCCTCCCAACAGCACTGCATCATATCACTCCGACTGTGTTTAGTAATCAGGATAAAAACCTGATGCAACAATTGATGGATGCATTTAAAAGCCGCCTAAATGAACTGAGCAACCTGGGGAACAGTTGTGTAAATACATTTGCCTGAAACATTTTGTGTCCTCAGATATATTTTTCAGATTACAAAGACACTACAAACTTAACTGTCTGCATACACATGGTTGTTTTTCACATGTTCATTTTCAATGAAGTCTGAGGTCTCCTCTGCGATTTGTCCGGGTATGCGGAAATCAATGGGTATGGGATGTACTGGCTCGGCTTGCTGGGACTGAGTCATGGGGCAGCCGGCTTCCCCCTTGGGACTGGAAGTGCTGCGTGAATTTTGAGGATCCAGGTTGCAGCCGGTACCCTGTAGAAACTGGAGGAAATTCTCCTCTATTGATCCTTCACGACTTGGCAGCCTGTCTTCCATTTCGGCCCCTGCCCTGCGAAACAAACAGGGCAGATGCTTGCCCAGCTCCTCTCGGATCTGTCTGTTGAGACAGCCGTAGAAGAAGGGGTTGGAGGTGAAGCAGAAGTAGCCAATCCAGGTGACCACCTCTTCCAGAGAGGCCAGTGCAGCGGGTGGACTGGCAGCCAATGCTGAATACAGGTGGAACGTAAAATAAGGCAGCCAGCAACAAAGGAACTGTCCACCCACAGCTGCCAACACGGCTGCAGCCTTCCCTCCTCCAAAGGGGCGCTGTGGAGTCGCTCTGTCGGTCCCAGTCCCGGAGCTGGTGACCATGGTCGAACGGCTGCTGAGCGACTCTGACCGCTGGCGGCGAGGTGTGTCCATCCAGGTGGGCAGTGGCCCGTGGTGCATGGCGGCCACCCGAGCCACTTTGAACATGTTGCAGTACACAACCAGAATAACCAGTACGGGACACAGGAAATACACCAAGGTGAAGAGGACCATGAAGGCTAAACGATTTGAGCCCCCTCCAGTCCAGTGTAGTGAGCAGCGTCTGTGACTGTGACCAGAGGGAGATGGAACAGCTCCTCCACTCCCCGCTCCAACCCCACTATTCTCCAGAAGAGGAGCTCTTCCGCCTTGCAGGAACCAGGCGAGCAGAGGCAGAGCAGACATGGCCAGAGCTTTGACCCATATGCCCACCAGCACCGAGGTCACCAGGCCAACAGTCATCTTAACTTCGTAGCGCATGGGATGGATGATGTAGTAGTAACGTTCCACATTGATGACGGAGATGGAGAGGATGGCAGCACTGACCAGGCACACGCTGAGAAAGAGGTAGCTCCTGCACAGAGCCTCCCCGAAGAAGGCTCGGCTCGAGAGCATGCCAAGGGGCATCAGCACCAGGGCTGCCAACAGGTCCACCACGCACAGGTGGAAAACAAAGGCAAACTTGTGGAGCTGTGGGGCCTTGGCAATGACCGTCATGACAGCTACATTACCCACGACAGCCACCAGATCCATGAGCAGCATGGCCAGCAGGGCTAGTGACTGGGACAGAGCCCAGCCCTCAGGCAGAGTGGAGGCAGACATGTTGGATGTGGACTGGGGAGGTGTGCGGGAGGAGTTCCACATGGGTTCCATTGAAGGGTGGGATGAGGCAGGCAGGCAGGAACAGTCACAGGCCCATCACCCATCCTTCAAAGCGAGGAAGAGCGTCCAGAAAACAGTGGACAGAAATCTGGGTCAAAATTTGCCTTGTGGTCCAGAGGCTGATGCTGGGATTGTCTGTGATTCCTGTCCATTCAGAAAGTCTTCTCTCACATTACTCGCAACCAGCCTGAAATAACAAAGAACAGTAAAAAATAAACTAAATTGTGTGTGAGTGCCTGTATGTACGTTTGAATACATATTAATGAGGCTCCATCTAATCTGTCAAATATCAAATCATTATCAAGTTTTATGAAATGATTCTTTTCAGGGGCAATAAGATTTATACATTAACCCAGAGCTCTGCCAACTACCAATTAGCTTAATCATGGATGGACTGATCGATGTACAGCCTCAGAAACATGGAATACATGCATTTATATATATACACTCCATACTCCATAAAATACATACACACACTTAAAGCGCACAGCCTTTACATGCTTGAATGCAAGCTAATTCACCAAAACGTAAGAATATTTAGTGAGTTGGAACTTCCAACACCAAATCAGCTATTTTTAATATGTTAGTTGTATTGTTTTTTCACTATACAAGCCCACATTTTGGAGTCCAGTTGCCCACCACTGTCTGTAAATCTGAGAGTCAGTGAATTAAATAATTTCCCTAGTCTCCAATTTTCAGAAGAGGATGTCTGCCACTATGGAAACCCTGATACTTTAATCTAAGCGAATTCACCATCTTCAAACCTGAAGATGTTTAAATCTTACAGAGGATGTGCGCACATTAACTGTGTGTGGCTATTAGAGACATGAAGCACACAGTATAACGCTGCTGCCCCTCTAAATGATGTCTGCTATGAATGTAGCAAAGCCCTGGCATGCGCTGTCTCCTGCTTACAAATATAATAACTCCAATTTGACTCTAAATACTAATACAATGTCTAACCTCCTGCAGCATCTATGAATAGCTACGCTTGCTAAGTAGCATCTGTATATAACACATCGGGGTACTCCCAGTTTAGTTTAACCCTCCTGGCTGATTTTGTCATGTCTTCCCGCCTACTCATTTATATGTTAATCATTAATGCATTTCTCACATTGTATTGATTATTTACCAACCACAAACACATTTAAACATGTATCTATCTATGTATTTATAGATGAATGGGTATCTATGAATATAGATATAAATATAACTGTGTGTGTTTGTAAACAAAATTTTTAAACCCTACATGTTCCTCTGTCATAGTGCACAGGCAGCAGGAGGAGGGAGAGACCAAGCAACAGAAACTGGACAAAATCTGAAATTATGATGGGAAGAAACAGAACGAGAACAAGACAAACGGCGCTGTGTACCTGAATCAGGGTATTTCCTGATGCAGCTGTCTGCTGCTTTGGTCTCTGAGGATTAAAAATCTGCTTTTGCTTCCACTACTGAGGCTCACAGTAAATGCTGTTGAGGCACTTCTCACGGTAGGACCCTGCCTCTTTTCCCATCCCTTGATCTTCCAAGAGCATCCTTCCACTCCGGCGACTACAGCTGTGGAGGCAGGGATTTTTCCGAAATGATGCTGATGTGATGCTCGCCAAAAAGACACCAGCTCACTCTCTGCTTTCCACCTCCACTCACACACAGTGACCGCAGAGATGGAGCAAGAGGCAGTGAGAAACCTGGACCAGAGCGCTAATCTCTACTGGGTCCTAGAGTCCTCATGGTTTGTCAAATCGTATCACTGAAAATCAGACCTGAACATCAACAAAAGGGAAAGATTTGGGGATGTGGAAATCAAGAAATTAGACATTAGTTAATCAACATCACAGCTTTGCCATAGGAAAAGAAGCATTGCGTTTTAGAGATCACAATGGATGCTGAGCTTTAAATTAAATGGGTTAATTGCTCATTTTTTGTGAATCATCAGTGGCAGTTGGGGAGGAGTTCCAGCATTAATTTGTTATCCTGCTAGTTAAAATGAGTTTGGTAAATGTCCAGTCCAGGCCATGGCGTTTGCCGGTATGGGTAAGAGTTTAACCAACTCTGCCACTTTTCAGTCAACAGCAGCTCTTCAGAACAAAGTTTCAAAGCAAACTGCACATGACTTTTCAAATTAATTCAGTTATTGTATTTAGTAACAAACCTGTCTTCAAAATGCCATCACTGTAACTTTAAACAGCCTAAACAGATTATGCAGAAATCATGTCAGTTTACATACATATCAACTCAGAGCCAATAAAGGCCAGTTTCTGAGAAGCTGTACAGGTTTTTCAACACAAACCTAAATAAGTTATTTCTTCTTGCTGATCAAGTGTCAACTGTTTTGAAATGTGACATTTTAGGATATCCATTTATGCTATTTTCTGGTGTGCGAGTACCGGGGCCCTGCAGAGCTCCTGATATTGATTTTAAGAGGAGGCCCTTAATGGACGTCTTGGTGGTCCTTGCCTGTGTAAAGTGTATGAAAACCCTAAATTCTCATTCCTTTGACTGATGATTGAGGATGTTAACGTGTGAAAATAAAATGCCTTTAGGTTGACAAGACTGTGAGGCACTGATTAGATTGGGCCTCTACCTCCATCGTCCCATCTTCTCCAACTGGAACTCCTGTTGCCACGGTGATGTTTTTCACATACAGTTCATCTCATTGCTTTGTTTGCTGAGGAGAATAACATCTGGGTTATTATAGATGGGGCTACTCTACTGAAGGAGTGAGCATGAAGCTGCTGAGTCCTGGGTGTTTTTCATTTGCATTTGCAAGGTCCCCCACGGATAATACATGGAAAATTTGCATTTCTTGGAAATCACATTTTGTATCTTTTTCACACCGAAAGCGGCATGTTGTATTTGCACAGCGACCTGTGCTGATTGATTTATCTGTTTTACCAAAGGTCTGATTATGATAATACACAAAGTCAATGCAAAAAAGGAGTTGTTGTGTTTGAAATGATCATCTGTGCTTCCAAATGCTGGCAAATCAAGTGATTGCAGGCTCTACATATTTCAGAAAATAATTCTTAGTTCTCATTTAATATGACCTTGCTTGTTGTGCGTCAGAACAAACCAGAGCTCCAGTTGTTTGTTTTCAATACATGAATCAGCCAGAATTTGTATGTTAAAAAATGTAACGCAAACATTGTCATTTTTCAAGTAACATATTTGGTTGCACCTTTTCACATTTTCTACACTTGACTGAGTGCAAGCTAACATAATCTGCTTCTTCCTGCCCATGCTTCAAAGCTACAAGGGCAGAAAATAAGAAACATGATGCATTTGTGTGAAGAGATTTAACAGACAGCACACACTTACTACTGTTGTCATGGTGAAAACGTATCAAGACATTTTGTAACATTAAGGAAAGATGAGGAGCACACTCATACTTGTGTAACACACAACATAACATGTTTGTGTAGCACTATGTGTGAATGAAACAACACCGCTGGTATGTGGTGTGGGTTGGTGCACGACGTGCATCCAACAGCATGTTTGCACCTGTATTCAGTCACGCACACCTTGGTTAGAGAGAGAAAGTGAGAGAGACGGAGAGAGAGAGAGAGAGGGAGAGAGAGGGAGAGAGAGAGAGAGGTAGAGAGAGATTGTGAGCGTGCACGTATCAGGTCAGGTGTTGACTCACGACAAAAATAGCACAGCCTTGCTCGGCCGGCAGCACCAATCACTGCCACCACAAATACAATGGTTTCCAAGGCAACCTTGAAAATAGACTCTACATTCGCACTCAGAAATAGCAAAAGACTCTGCAATAACCCCAGAGAGCCCCCACTGCCAATAATAACTACCCACAGATATGGATGCACAAACAACAGCAGCACTCAGAAATAAAGTCCCGTCGTTCCATTTACCAAAACATAATTACTGCTGCCTACACAAACAATCAACTCCAATTCGAATGCACTTACAGTATGGGTGTACTTACACAAGGGGAAACATTAACCAGCTTTGTTTTTAATAACAAAATAGCTAAAACACAGAGAAAGTGTTCAGTTGATAGGCACAACAACTGGCAGAGAGAATGTTCACAAATGCCAGCGAGAATCCTCCATGGCGTGTTATCAGATAGCTTTTAAAACTAAAAATGAGTAAGACTGATGTTACAGGAGATAAAGAGGTGAATGTTGCCTTGGATACTCTTGGTCAGGAAAGCAGGCAGCTGAATATATTAGGATGCAATGTTGTTTTCAAAGCACTGTCACTTGGGAGATGACATGAAAAAAAGGTTTAACATAAGAAGTTTCACTTCAAACTGATGGTCATTTAGTACCAGTTTAACCAATTATTTTAGTTACAGTCCCATCTTTGTCATATCTAGATTTTTTGAAAAGGTAGTATAGATTTGTATGGAATCCTGAATGCAATTTTTTTATACATTTTCACTAATTGTGGCTGAATTGAATATACACAAGTAAAATGGTTTTAAGCTTTAAAACTTTTAGTGGCTAACAGATTAGCAAGAAATGTTTCCCCCGATACAAAGAATCCTTAAAAATAGACTGAAAAAATAGAAGGAAAAAGAAAAAAAACATCCACTCCAGCTGACAAATCTAACTTTGTCTGTGCAGCCAGATGTTGATTTCCTCAAATATCAGTAGATGTTTCTTGCTTTCTCCAACCTATTTGGCCTTGTGTAGGAGCTGAAAGCCCACCTGATTTAGTTTTACTGAAGAACAAATAATTTGAATTACTTCTTGACTGACATATTGGGCTTTGGCTCATTCAGAGAAAACTGATATAAAAAAACATGTGACTAAAATGTATGGAGAATACAGGAGCTTCACATTTTGTAGCAGCTTTCACCTTTTTTTACCATACTTTTAAGGTAGCTATTGCACTGCATTCTTTTTAGGGGTCTTCTTCCTTTTTTTAACCACCCTTTACTCAATTCATACATGAAAAGGGGACCTTTTATTTCGCTGCTGTATTTATAATACTAAAGATGTCACTAAATCAGAAATAGCTAAAAGTTTATTTCAATATCCTGCTGTTTTCTTATTTTTCTTCAGTACACCAAGTGATTCTGGGTTCAAGTACCACATAAGTCATTAGGCCCTCTTTGACCATTCGCCTGAACATGCTTTTTATACCAGACGGTGGCAGTGTGTCCACTGTATTCTGTACTGTGTTACAGTAGGTGGCCACTTCAGTCGGTGCTGAAGTAATCATCTCATGAAGCGGCTTTAATTTCCAGCTCCCCAACACAAAAGGCTACTTGCTTTTAGTCTGGGGGCTGTATAAGGCACTGATGGGTACATATGTATATGCTGGACATCCAGTGTCCAAGTTAATATTTTACAATTCACACATTTTCCTTTCCAAAAGTTTTATCAGCAAGGCTTGGAAAATAACAGGTTGTTTTCAGCTCTGACTTATACTATTTATTATTGTTTATACTATTCAGAATGAAAAGTAATACCTAACACAGCTCTTACCATTTGATCAATAAGAGCTATATGGGAGGGGGTGCTCTTTAAACCTGATAATTCTGTTTATTTGAAGTATTTAAAAGAATTCACTGTACAACCATTCACCTTCCAGCTTCATGGAGCTAACTGTTCCTCTTCAGGCTTAAAGGTTGAACTCATGGGATACTGAGTGAACTGGGCTGGACGCTTTTCACCTGCTGCTACCTCATTTATTATTCACAAAAGGAACTGAAAGTCTCCACTGAGCTGGTGTCTAAATCAGCCCTGTTATCTGATAGTCCCTGACTCGGTGTGCATCAAGTAGATTCGGCCTTGTGAAAACAGAGTTGTGACAGCTATGCCTATGCAATCATTAAAGTTAGTGGACAGTAAAGACTGTGATAATAGAGCTCTTATAATACAGAATCGGTTGCCACAGAATGAACAGCAAACAGGTAAAATGTCCTATTATCAGTTCATGTCAACTCATACAGAGCCCCTCTCTCTATTTTATGTAATTTGGGCACATTTTCCGTAAACTTTGATTAGAAAATGTCAGTCCTTTTCTTCAACTGAAAGAAGTGTTTTCATTTTAAAAAGCACGTCCACTAGAATTTACTCAAACTGCATCAAACACGGTTCTGTGCTAATTATTGCTCTTGTGGCCACAAAGAACATTTTAGCTGCATCGGGAGAATATGTGAAATGGACTGCAGAATCCATTTCCAATGCAACAAGGGAACATGACACTCAGTGATGTGTTGTTTTAGACAGTAATGGAAGTCAGTGCCAAACAGTATACACTGAAAATGTGGATTAATTGCAGCTACTGAGAGTCATGTCACATAAACAGTGGAGGTTGCAGATGCACTGCTCCGTTATCATGTGGTGCATTATCAGTACTGTACACTGAACAATAATGTTTAGTGGAGCTTTTTTGCTGCTATCGCTTCTTTGTTTTGTTTTATTGAAAAAGAAACTGTAAAAATTGATAGAGGGCATCATGCTTGTTGAAACTCAGGATCTTCTGGGGGGGGGGGGGGGGTTGTGTTAGAGCTGGGTGGAAATGGTTGAAAATATCGGACTGTAATCTGAAAAAAATACTTGTTGTAACATTTCAAAATAAGTGATCATCATAATTTCCTGCAAATAAAACAACATGACTGATTTTCAGAAATGGTGCAATCTCCCATGAGGACTTTAGGGGGTAGAGAACTGTGTCCTTCTTACAGTTCCAACCCGCACCACTGATAGAATTATATTTATCTGGCTTACACCTGGTCGTAAAAAACATGCTGAAAGCTTCCCACATTTCATCACATAAAACAAATTAACCTTCTTGAACTGTTGCCAAAGATCATACATAGGCATGCCAGTCCCAGAAAGCACATTATCATTAAGTCTGTCAAAAATGTTGAAGTCTTGAACCATATATGAAGAAATTATTTATTTCAATACATTTTTCATCACCTTCTGTTTTGTGTGATTAAACGTTTTGAGAAAATAATGTGATCTTTAAATTATGTATTTATTGATTTTTTCAATAATTCCATTTCAATCTCAATTTCAGCATTTTACAATAATTCATAGTTGCTCACAAGAGACAGTTTTATATACCAATAATATACCAAAGCTAAGCCATGCCATGACTGAAAGACATTAAATTTCATAGCCCAAAGAGCATTTTTGAGACCTGTTGTAGTAGAAGTTTTGGCCGGGTGATCCAGTCGAACAATATTTCACAGAGAACAGAGCTACTCTCCCAAAGTGTCCAGAAAAGCTGGTCAGTGCATTTGATTAGGTTGCACTAACTGATGACTCTGGGGCTGTTTTCGGTTAAATGTTAAGACTTAAAGTCTTGTTTTTATCCTGCACCAAAGGAAAATGTCAGATTCATTTCACATCACTGAAAATATTTATTTTCCAGTCATTGTTTATATTGTTGAATCCCTTCTGTGGTTTCTGTAACTAAATTGTGGCTAAATTGTTATTAAATTGTGTATTCCCTGCTTTGCTTTTGCATGCTGTTCGGAACTCTGCAAATTGATGTCTCATCCACTGCTGTATGCACATCACGTCCTGGGAGACAGACTGCTGCTGCTGCAGGTCACACAGAGTGTTTGCTCTGTCCTTCACACAGAAAATTAGATTATCCACACAGAGGAAAATGCCTTCATCCTTACATATATCACAGAGCTGAATGGGCAGCTGAGATTAAAATGCCACTGAAATGGCATGGAATAATAGCATTTGTTTGGGGAGAAATAAAACATACATCAAGACAACAAATGGAGGAAAAATGACGTGCAGCTTCCAAAAAGCATCCTAACGAGCTTCAATTGTTTTTGCTTGTTATTTCAGACAGCTGTAATTGTTACACATTCCTTCACAGTGTCTTTTTAAACTGTAATGGTAAGTGGGAACCTGTCAGGGGGGAAATGTGGCACACACACCCCCTCCCCCCCTGCTGTGTACGCCCCTCGTATCAACTACCACCACCGGTTTGGATTGGCTCCGCACAAGAGGACAGCAGCCTGACTCCGGCCGGTCATCCAGGGGGCTGGTCACCGCCTGCACGACCCTCCCGCTGACAGGTGGGACCGCTGTTCGCAGCTGCTGCTGGCTGCTGCTGTTGTGATGACGCAAACGAGCCTGTCCTGTGTTGGATCATCCGCAGGACCGGGCTGCTGAGGACCACCGGCACCGAGCAAAAGGTAAAGCAGACGCGGGCGGGACACGCTGCCTGCTGGGACAAGTGGATGGTGGGTTAGACGGTTCAGTGAAACAGGCATGCTGCCATTGTTTAAGTGGTCAACTCGATCCTGAGGCTTTTTCTGCTATCATATATTCTATATTTTTTATATGTTGCCACACATAACTTTTTCGGCGTCTCGCTCCTCCCAGTGCGCCACGCCTTTCCCGTGAAACAATGCTAATTCAAGTATCTTCTTTTATTCTTTTTCTTTTTTTTCTTTTCCTGCAGCATGACTGTGCAGTGAAAAGGCAAAGGCCAGAATAACTCCAGCAGTTTAAGAGGACATGATGGGGGTGTCAGTCACTGTCACCACCGTGGCAGCCCTGAGGAGAACCTTCATCACAGTTCTTGGCTTGACTTTATTCTTATCAGCCGGGAGGGTGCATGGGCAGTTCCTGGGCGCCCCGCTGGACTGCAAAAAGACCTGCGTGTGCACCAGTAACATCATCAGTTGCTCCGGTGGAAACCTCACCAACGTTCCCACGGCTCTCCCGCAGCACACGGCAGTTCTGGACCTCAGTTTCAACGCCATCACCAGGCTGCGCGCAGTGTGGACTCCCATCCATCTCCACAGGCTGCATAGCCTATCGCTCAGCAACAACGGCCTCACGTTCCTCTCTTCTGAGGCGTTTGTGCACGTGACCAAGCTTCGTTACCTGGACCTTTCCTCTAATGGACTCCGCCAGCTGGACGAGTTAATCTTTGAGCCGCTGGAGCAACTTGAAGTGCTGCTGCTTTATAAGAACAACATCTCTCAGATAGATCGCTCGGCCTTCTCAGGCCTCGACTCTCTGCAGAGGCTCTATCTGAGCCATAACCAGATCTCCCGCTTCCCTCTGGAGCTTGTAAAGGAGCGAAGCAGACTGGAGACTCTTCGGCTTCTGGACGTCTCCTCCAACAGGATTAAAGCCCTGCCTCTGCAGGAGCTTCAGTCCTTGCCTGCCTGGATAAAGAACGGCATTTACTTCCACAGCAACCCTCTGACCTGCAGCTGCGAGCTGTACAACCTGTTGGCACGCTGGTCCATCAAGGAGCTCAGCTCTGCCTCTGACTTCGCGGGCAGCCATACGTGTTTGATACCAGGTCTGCGGAGGGAAAAGATGCTCACCCTGGATCTGGACGAAGCTCATCTGAACTGCAGTGAGATCAAGGTTCTGATGGAAGAGGCCTATTTGGAGCAATCTCTGGTACTGGATTGTGATACCAAGCAAAGGGACGTGGTGAAGAGATGGGCACTGCCAGGAAACATCCCACTGTCTTTTGCCAATCAGAGCGCTGTGATGCTCTCTGACGGCAGCCTCCACATCGGGTCCCTCAAAGCAGAGGACTCAGGAGTCTACATCTGCTATGCTACAAGTGACTCCTTCAACGAGACGCTGTATGTGACCGTAGTGGTCATTAATTCCACCATGAGTGGTGGGCTTGAGAGTCTAAAAACGGCCTACACCACCCTCATAGCGTGCGTGGTGAGTTTAGTTATGGTCCTCATTTACCTCTATCTCACCCCGTGCCGCTGCGCGTGCTGCCCAGGTCAGGACGCGGAGAAAGATGGCGCGAGAGACAGCCTCCACTCCTCGACTGTCAGTCTCTCTCAGGCTCACGAGGAGACAGCGGAGCAGACGGTGGAGGGCGGGGGCTTCCCCTACAGACCCGCTCCTCTGCTGGAGCAGAACGGCAGGCTGAACCCGATCGGTGAGGAAGACGAGGAGTGGCAGGTGGACACCAGGGAGAGAAGAAGGTTTGATGCCCAGTCTGTCAGCTCTGTGTGCTCTGACACTCCAATGGTGGTATAAACGAGAGCATGTGCAGAGCAGTGATTGTCTGACTCTGCTAGGTGTTCTCTTGAATGTCTGCACTACTCAAGGTCTCATCTTCTAAACAAGGCCTGAGCTGACTCCAGCTGTTAGTAGCATTGTTGAGGCAACACATACCAAGGATCAACTATGAACTGCATAAAAACGCTAATGTAAAAACTTAAAAACTGTCATTGAAAAAACAACCCTAACCCTAACCGTATACTGTAAAAAATGATCAATTAAAAGTGATTATCAAAAGTTGCATTAAAAAAGAGATATCCATATTTGTATTTGGGCAACAAACTAGTTTAAAATCTGTTTATAATCTGCTACTACTTACCACAGATCTGAAAAATACAGAAGCTTAAAATATTGTTTTCACTCATAAATACATCAAATATTTTCAGCCACGGAGAGATACTAACTACTCTGAGACAAACAGCTCTAAAAAAAAAAATAGGACAGTCATTTTACTGTGTATATCTCGGGGCGGTGCATGAAGCATTGCTTTTATGCAAAGCGATCATGGTGCTATAGACGAGACGTTTGACAGATGTTGGACAGAAGGTTGCTGCTGGAAATAGCGACTCATTTTATGCAAAGCTTGAAGATCTCAGCTATTACTGCAGTCTGTTTTAATGATGTTTCATGTTATGGTCTTGTGTGGATTTCTTGATATTCATGGAACACAACGTTGTGAGGATAACTTTTTTGTTAATTAAGTGTGTTTATATAATGTGTAAGAGTCTTTTTACGTAGAAATCTGAGTTTTGCTGTAAATGTGGCCTTTGCTGAAGGGATTTTGAAGACTGAGCTGATTAAATGTGAGCTTTAGATAGACCAAATTCACAGTCTAATTTAATTATGAAATATTCTAGATAAGTAGAATTCTAATTTTTAAAAGAATTTTGTTTGATCCTGCCATTTTAGGAAAGTAAAAGTTTAGCACACAAAGAATCCACCAACTGATACACAAAAACTGGATCACATCCCTGACAGGAGTTAGTGCTCTTATATCTGTCAATCACAAACTACTTCATCCCTCAGACTGATATCAAGTTGATATCAACAAAATTTGACCCAACAAATGTGCAGAAGAGTATCCCCTTTAGGTTAAATTGGATCTAACTGACTTTGGATTCAGGTTTAGGAGCATTTTCTCTGATTGGATGATGGTAATTATTATGATATGAATTATCAAAAAATGTTTTTATTGTGGTTGAAATTTTGAAATCTAGAATAATGTGACTTAAAATTCTCATTTCAAATACCTTTTTTACTTTTTATCCCCTCAATCTTAATTTCTGCCTCATCCTAACTTGCCAGCGTGTACAACCGCTCGTTTAAAAAAGCATTTGACCGCAGTGAGTGAGCTTTCACTTTAAGCTATGCCAGCAGAAATAGCACACATTGTCATAACAAAAATATCATACACATCTTTAACACACATTCCGGGACCTTTGCTTACTGGAAGTCAGGCAGCTTTCAGTGCAGCTGCAGGTTTTATCTCTTCATTAACTTAGTTTATGGATGTTCGCAGCCTCGTTCGCATTTGACCAACCTTTCCTTGACCCTGAGTATTTCAAAGTGCGTTCGTGCTCCTGGTGCCATTAGCATGGCATGTTAAGTATGAACAGACAGTAAAAATATATGTACATCCTTGTTTATTAGATGATTTATTGCTGCAGGAAAACATAGCCCAAAGGAACACAGCTGAGAGCAATACCATCCACTAAAGGCCTCTGGGCTTTGGCGCCCAACTCTGAACTAATAATCCAATACAGCCCGCCAGAAGTCTCATAAACACTGTCAAAAATAGCAGCTCGCAGTGCAGCAAACACACACACACACACACACACACCTTAAGCCGCCAGTAGGAGCTGGAAACTCACTGTGAAAAGTAGCCATTATTAAACCGATTTCTTCATTTTTGTGACATTGGCAGGTTCAAACTGAATAACATTCACCATAAGTTGAACTTTCCACCACAAATAGTTTCTATATTAACACATGAATATTAATCGTCTACTGAGAACACAACTAGTAAGTTAATGAAAACAAACAAAACACTAATAAAAAGATAACGCAGGCTGATGATCTCAGTAATTGTAATTGTACTCTGAATGTGCTTTACTAAGATACTTAATGTTGAATTAATCATGAACATGAATGATGTCAGTTTTTTATATATTTTATGCAGCTAGACTATATCTTTTATAGGGTTCATCATGTGCAGTTGAAATATCTGTTTCTTAATAAAGTCACTTATACTAACAAAAACTCACTTGTTAAGAATGTTACACATTCATGTTCAGTGTTCATTGTGGTAGGTACGGTTATTGTCATTTTTATGCTGAAGCCAGTGGCTGTGCCTCTCTGTGACAGTCACATGGCCTCATTTCATGCAGTCCCGTGTAAACAACTGATTAATCCTGTGCTGTATCATACTCTGTTTATTACTAAACTACTCCTGTATATTGTGAACTGCAAAATAAACATAAGGTGAATCATGTCACATGATGTGATTGAGCTGAATTTGTCAGACAGTGACGGCCGAGCTGAGATCAGCCGGCATTAACTCGTTTACGTGGGGGGGGGGCAGATTTGGCTCATCCTACCCAGCTAATTTCAGAGCTTTGTGGACATGTCATTTTTAGAGTTACTTTTGTGTGACAAAAACATTTATGGACAGTTTTAAAATATACTTTTAAGCTGTGAAACTTGTATTTTACCCCAGAGTATCATGACTGTCACAAATGACAGAATAGGCCTGATTGTAGTGTCAGGTTGTGTGCTGGCTTAAGTTCCTTTATTACACAAGGAACACAGACTTATTCACCCCAGGGTGAAATGGGAGACCACACAGATTGTTGGAAGAGGAATCTCTGCCCCCTATCCATCAGATGAGCTCCCTTCTGACTGTACTTTAGTACTGCTTGATTTTCATCCTTATTTGGATGACTGCTAACAGGATTTCCAAGCAGACTGAGCACTCTGGTTCCTTGTTCTCCATACTCTGCGTGCAAAAAGTAGCCCACCTTTCTGTTGTCAACTTGCTGTAAAAAGGAGATTTTGAATAAACAGTGCAGCGAACTAGTGGTGAAACCTCATCTTCTGCCCTGCGTCTCTTCCTCCACGGGATGAATGATTGACGAGGTCTGTACAGGTGTGGATGCTCTCTGAGGCTACTTCCTCATGTTACTGTGCTTTTCCACAGCGCGCATGAACCCAGCCAGGTGTGCGGGCTCACGCTGGCCTGTTAGGAGAACCCGGTGATGCAGTATTCAAGTGAAAGAATGACTAAGCTGAAAACATGTCAATATGCTGATAGGCAGCAGGGGTGAGTCTGTTTATTTGTGTGTAGTGTTTACACAGAAAAGAGTTGAATGACACATGCCTTCTGGATATTGAATGACGGATTATTATTAGAACCAATGCAGCTGCCTGAGGAAAATCTCAGATCCTCACACATCACCGACACAGATGGCATGAGAGAGAGCCAGAGCCCGCTGACAGTGAATGACTGTGTTTTAAGGCCTGAATTCTGAGAGAGATGACTCATCCTCTCCTCAGACCCCTCCCAGAAGAATCTATGAATGATGGAGTGACTTAAAACTGCAGAATTTAGAGACCTCTGCCATCTAGTGGCCATGAAAGCACTCTGAGAAGGAAACGTTTGGATCCATTATTCGCTTTAGAAAATATTCTGTTGGCACTTTTCCATGCACTTAAACATCTCCGCCTGCCTAGAAGATTACTTGAGCGTCTGATAAAGGGCATAAATAACTTGTTGATGTGGAACTGCCGCTGGTAAGCCCTATCCAAGGTCATTGATTATACAGCTAATGTGATGCGTCTGAAACACAGCCAGCAAAACATGATTTGATTTTCTCTACTGCTGATCGTAGTTCCAAAGTGGTTCTGAACAGTGCTCACACTCATGAAGAAAGCCGTAACCATCTCTGATGTCCTGAGTCCTTACAGAGAGAGAGGCTTTAATGTTTGATATATTTTCTACCCTTAAATATCTCAGAACTCTATTCTTGTCCTAAATCTGAGCTCCAGCCAAAGAGAGATTAAGGAATATGAACTCCTGTACTGCTGCTTTTACTAATGTTTTAACAAATGCTTAAGTTATGCAGCCTGTTGACTTTTTTAAAACAACCAGCGTCCATCCATGCTGCGTGTGAACTAGCATGTTTGGACTTTGGTTTATGCCAGGCGGTAGAGAAAATGGATGGATCAAGGCCTCTATTAGGTGGACTCTAAATCATCTGATCCAGTTCCACACATTTCTGATTAAGTGAGTATGAATGAAACATGAGAGAACCGGGTATGTAGTTACCAAATTTATGCCCTTCTTTAGGGGAATCTGTTAAGTTAATAGTCAATCTCAGGCCAAAGGTGAACAGATAATGAAGCAGAATGTTGGCTGCTGTTTCAGAGCTAAATTATTAGTTAATGAACACTTATATTCAACCGGTTTTAATCATTTATCCCACCAAGCAAAGTGTCTCAGTTCCTATTCAGAAATTAAATTAAGAATGTTACAGGTGCAGATGCAGATGCAAATTCTGTTGCTGACAGTTGACATTCATACGCTGGCTACATTAACAGGCCTGTTAAGCCAATATTTAAAGATAGAAAAGGAAGAAACAAACCTTCCTCAGCTTAAAGTGAAATATTTAGTTACTTGATGTTAGATTGAGACCTGGATTTTATCTTAGATATTTTATCATGTTAAGCTACTAATGTTTTCATTTTGAGATGTTTGTTTTTAAATATTAAAATGACTAAAATGTCATCTTTCTGAACTAATGACTTAAAATCCATCAGAAACCTTTTCCTTACTTTCTGCAAGCTAGAATTTAAAACAAATGGCTCCTTCAAATCCGTTTCTGTGTGTGTTGGATGGAGGTTTGGGGATACATGTCATTTATAAATCAATATATAGCAATTGTTTTGTTTTGAGATCTTAACATATTCTAAACTTTTCAATAAAGAAAAATCATGTTTGGAGGAGAGTGAAAAAACACACAATAGGAATTCATTCTTAACAGGTGCCTTTATTTAAACTTAAATAAAAAATCAACAGGGAACTCCAACAATGGAAGTGTAAAGATGAGAGGGGCAGCTTTTCCGAATAACATGAATGTATACTCACCGCTGCAATTGCCCCCGTTGTCACGGTAACGCCAGAGAGCTGGTTCAGTCACACTGGTGCTCTCCCAGATGTTTGCCGTTCACTTACTCCTTTTTTTTCCTCCCTGAGGAATGACCTGAAACACTCAACATCGTAATTTAATCCTGCTTCTGAACACCCCGAAACATCAACTAAACACACTTCCAACAGTTTGTTTGACCCATGTCTTATTTCATAACAACGAGGGGCTGAGACACATCCGCCTGAACTAAATCACCTCAGCATGTTTGGAAAGACTTCCTGTGCTGAAAACCGATCGCTCAGCACCTCCTCATAAACTTTGACTAAATGTGACTGCAGGCCATTGTCTACATGCCTGAAATACCACCGCTGTTTTTCCCCAGGCTGACCGTCTACCTGACCGCCTGATCACGCTGCTGCACGCCTTCTGAATCCTGCCCAGGGAAGGGCAACCGGCCGCAGCCCTGACCGAGTCCAAGGGTCAAAGCCATTCCAGCTGATTTGAAATCACTGCCTCATTTCCTCCTTCTTTGTCTTTAAACCTGCTGACTGATGCAGTTTTACCATGTTTGGTAAGGCAGCCGTTGACTATCAGATCTGTGTTAGAGCAACCACACACACACACCCTTTCATCCACCTGAGGGATAAACCGGGACAACCTGTTTTACCGTTCAACAGTTTTCCAGCACTTGCTCGTCTCTGTTAGACCTAACTTTACCCTTCTACTCCACCATCATTTCCCCGCTACTCTACGCACCTGTTCATGTAAATGTACTTTTTTACTGTTAGAAATATCTGCTCACCTAACAGCACATAAATGATTGAATCTACACAGTATTCAAAGAGCTGAAGTGGCTTCTGGGTGTGTCTAAATTCACTTTGAAAGTTACTCAAAGCCAAAGGAGGGGCATATCTAAATACTGATCCCTGTTTCAAGAGACTACTGATCTACCGAGGGAAGTCTCTTGGATTTAAAACTTTAAACAAGCTTTAATTACGACTGTTTTTTTGGGGGGTGAAGACTCCATGACTGTCAAATCAGACGGCACAGACCAAAAGGTGTCCACTGGAGAAGAGTGCCTGAAAAGGTTAGTTTTAGACTACACTGTTCCACATTCACATTTGTCTTTCATTTGTGGGCCTTTTTGAAATGTTCTAATTCAACAGCTTTCTAAAACGGGGCACAAATAGTCCAATAAATGGAGTTTGGCGCAACAATACGTACCCAGATGTGTTGTTCCAGCCTTCAGAATACATTACCTGAGGAAGAGGAGGGCGGCACAGCCAGATGGTGGGGGTCAAAGCCGTTGCGTCTCACAGCTCCAGGTGCACCGGACACAGAATCCAGTCGTCCTGTGAGGCTGCCCACAGGCGGAGCAGCAGAGGTAGATCCGCTCGGCCCGGCAGCCGTGGCTTTGCTCTCGTGTGCAGTTTTGGCAGGAAATGTTTTAAGAAGGACACAAACCACGTCAACAACTGGACTACAGTTTGGCTCTACGGGCTGTTCCCTCCTCCTCCGCCCTCAGAAGCCAAAGCCGAGGCGCTCCCGCTCCCGGCCCTTTTGTCCAGGCGGGCCGAGGCGGGTGAAGTCTGGCCCTCTTTAAAAAGCTCCAGCCGTCCAACGACAAGCAGCCGGCTACTGCGGACGCCCCGCTGACCAGCTGCCGGGGGCCGGGCGACAAAGAGAGAGGCGTTTCCACTGAGGCTCCCCGATGCAGAGACATGACACCGGCCAACCCGCGGACGGGGCCTGGCCCGCCAAGCCCCCCCTCCAGAGGAGAAAGCCACGGATCTGGGGCGAGACAGTGACTGTGGACTTGCCGGAAAAGCGAAACAGTGCGGGCAAATTTGCCTCATAATGAAAGCCCCGTGAAAAGGTCTTCACAAAGAGGTCACTCGACAAAACGTTGCCAAACATGAAAACCACACAACTGGAGGGCTTCCTCTCCTTTTCTCTGCTGGAACCGGCCTCTGCTGTCAAAGCCAAAGCCTCTCCAGTTTGATAAACAATTCCAAGAACAGAACAGGTCACAAAAGTTGTCTTCCAAGGCACTCGTGTTTCCCACGAAAGAGCAAATTTATTAAGACAAGATCTAGCAAGTGCTCGCCGCACTCTGCGTGTTTTTCAGACAGTTAGATCTACTTCTTAGGCCCGTGACTTCTGATGTTCTCCACTTCTCTCTCCAGATATCCTGAGTACACAGCACATATCTTTCCCCACTTGAAACACAGTACTGAAATCAATGCATGAAAAAAAATAAAATCATTCAAAGTCCTTTTAGAGGATGGCAGGTAAGGCCACCGGAGAGCAGCCTCCTCAGCTCTTTTGTTTGTTCCCCAAAAGTCCACACACACAGTAGAAATTCTCTCAATGTTTAGACTCCAGATCAGGTTAAAAAAAAAATAATTAAAAAATATGCATGACATACATACAGAGCCTCAGTTACAGATAACGTTGTCATCTTTTTAAACAGTACATACTTTTCTGGGGTTGGAATTATAATTAGCGGATGGTAAAACAAGAGAATAAAAGCAAATAAATCCAATGCAACAAATGGAAAAGATGCCCAGTAGGGTATGGAAGAATGAACAAACCCTTAACACAGATCACCTTTGCAGACCAGAGCAGAGCTGTCTGTATAGAGAAAAACCAAAAAAATAAAAAAGTCATAACATTGGAATGGTTTACGTTTAACAGGAATCCTTTTTTACTTTTGGCTGGAGACTTTTGGTCAGAGGAAAAAAAAAACATTAAAAAAAAAAGTGCTACATGTGGACATTATGATGGCGTGTTATTCTTGGCATTTTTCCCCACTCTCAGCTCTTTGAATACCAGGTACTGTGTTAAAAAAAAAAATCAGTTTTTAAAAGTCTGTAGACAATTAACATCAGATAATCAGTAGAAGAAAAACACAAAGTCCTGCTTTCACTTTCTGTAACCCTGCTGATGGAATCGGTGTGAAATGATGAAGAATGAAGATGAAAAGATGAGTTCTGAAAAAGGAGCGTCAATCACATCACACCGTGAGCTTTTTTTTTTTACTGTTAATCTACTCTGAGCAGGACTGGTCCGCACGGGGAGACAAAAAGAAAATATGCTGAAGTGAATATTTAGCACATGTACATCTGGAACAGGTCTACCTCAGGGGAACTGAGTTTTAGGAAAATATATGTATTATCATCTTATTTAGTAGAAAAATCACAAAGCTCAATTGAGCTCTTTCTTTGTGTGATTAAACAGCCATGGAGGAGCTACTAAAAATGAAAACCTGTGCCGGGAACACATTAAAGGCCAAGTGCTCTCCCCTGAACCTTATATTGTTTTTGGTATGTGCAGGTGGTGCGTCGAATGACATCAAATGAACTAGGCTTCTTTTTTAAAGACATAAGGCAGCATACAGAAGGGATTTTCAGAGACGTAGCCCGTAGCTCAGAATTAACTGACCAGCAGAAGGCAACATGTCACCAGGATTAACCTCGATGTTCTATTTGATTTATCAAAAACCATTCAATTCAGAGTGACTTTCGTTCCTGAAACATTTGACAACATGAACTAGAAGCCACCGCTTAGGGGATTTCAAATCAGAGCCCTGCTGCACTGCATTGGTATCATTACATCTCCCAACCGTCACACATCACAATCAAACATTCCTAGTGTCAAAGGAGATGTGGAATTTGCACTTTAGCTTTAGGACGCTCCTCTGATAATGACCATCACCATGTAGTCGTCTTCAGATTTGGCAAAAGCTTTGGCAGAGACATCCAAGAACTGCTGTGAGAACTGGCATGGAGGGAAAGCGTGCAGAACCCCCCCGTGATCCTTGTCACGGCCCCCCCCCACGGGGAGGCTGATGATGCCGGCGGCGTCCTTCTGCTTCAGGTAGGACACCAGGTTCTTCAGCGGCCTCTCCGTGGAGCTGCTGGCGTCCTCGGTCTTCCCCGGCACGGCCAGCAGGATGGAGTAGCCGCGGGAGCCGGCCGCCTTGATGCGCCGGGACACTTCGTCCAGCTTGGGCTGGTCCAGCCGCAGGCGCTGACTGATCTTCAGCTCCGACACTTTGCCGCCCGTGGAGCCTTCCACCAGCAGGCTCAGGGCCACCGCCATGTCCCCCTCCAGCAGGTGCAGCGAGGTGGGGAAGCTGCTGTTCTTCAGCAGGAGGGCCCCCTCCCAGGCCCGACTCAGCTTCTGTCCGTCGGCGGGGCCGGGCTGCTGGCCGGGCCTGGAGGGAGAAGAGTTCGAAGGAGGCTGCTCTGAGTGGTTCTCCTTCCTCACCGGGCTCTTGGACGGGTCTGTCCCCTTGTGTCGGCGGTCTTTCTCGCCGGGCTCCGGCGGGCTGCGCGTTCTCCTCCTCTTGTCCGCGGGCCCGGCGTCGTGCGCGTTCTGCCGGTCCCGGGCCGGCGACGGCCGGCCGGAGCGGGGCGGGCGCTCGGGGTCGCTGCCGCGCCCGCCCTCGCGGCTGCTGCCCCCGGGGCTGCGCTCCAGCGAGCCGCCGTGGCGCCGCAGGCCGTCGGGCGAACGCTCCGCCCGCCAGCCGTCGCCCCCCGGCCTCCTTTTGCGGCCGGGGTCTCTGCTTTGCAGCTCGCGCTCTATCGGCCAGTTGTCTTTGGGGCGTCTGTCCACGGGATCAAAGGCGGCTCCCCGCATCCTGTCGTGGACGCTCAGGCCAGACCACTCGGCAGCAGGGTAGAGATCCCGCTCTCTAAAGCGAGCCGGAACTGGGGGAGACCGCTCCCTCACGGGCTCTGTGAAGCGGCGAGAGAAGGGCTCGGGGACCATGTCGTAATGTGGCAGGGGGAGGGGCAGCTGCACGTACTGCTGCTGCTGGTAGCGATGTTCTGTGTCTGCAAAGTCCACCCTGAGTCTCCGGTCTGGACCCCCGAGGGGGAAACCCCTCATGTGAGCGCACGCAGCCTGAGCAGCGTCCAGGCTTTCGTACTGGATGTACGCCCAAACGTCTCCTTTCCTGTAGTCTATAGTCCTGATGGTGCCGAAGCGGTCAAACTCTTTGGCCAGCGCAGCCAGTGGAACCCAGGGTCCAAGACCCCCCACCCACAGTCTGGTGGTGGGGGTGGGTTTGCCGTATCCAATTTTGATTGGACTGTGACCCACCACTTTCCCCGACATGGCCATTTTGGCACGGTGGGCCATATCGAGATTCTCAAACTTGATGAATCCATAAGTGTTGCTCTGTCCCCTGGCTGTCCGCTTTATGTCCACCTCCGTTATCACCCCGAAGCGGTCAAACACCCTCCTCAGGTCATTCTCCGTCACGCTGACGTCCAGGTTTCCCAGAAACAACGTCCTGTTTGCCCTCTGGTCGTCTTCTTGGGTTATCATGTCCTCCTCCCGGTAAACGGCACCTTCGGGAATGAACGGGGGTCTGTTTCTTGTTTCATACACGGGGAAATCCCTCTCTCTGTCTAGGTCTCGGAGGTGGGCTGGTGGGGGGGGAGGGGCGTGCCGGCCCATGGCTAGCTGCTGCAGGCGGTAGTCTCTGAAGCCCACACCCGCGGGGGACAGGGCCCTCTGAGAGTGAGGGTGCCTGTGGCCGGCGGGGAAGCCGTCTTTGGACACGGGCGAGCGGCTTCTGCGTTTGTTTATGTAGACAGTCTCTATTTTCAGGGGTCGGTCGTACAGCACGAGCTTGCCGCGCGCGTGTTTGGCCGCTCGCGCGTCTTCGGGCCTCCTGAAGTTCACGAACGCCACTCTTTCGTCATTTTCACGACTTATCTTGACGCTCACGTCTCCGAACTTCTTAAACTCGTGAAAAAGGCCGTCTTCTATCTCCTCGTCGTTCAACTCGGAGCCGAGTTCGCTTATTTTCAGAGTTTTGTACTCACTTCCGGGATTTGCCGGAGGCCGCGGGTCGCTACGTGAACCGGACCTGGACGCTTCCGCGGGGACGTCAGCGCCGCTGTGCGGCTTGTTCCCCGAAACGGCTCCGTACTCGTATCCGCTATCAGTCCGACTGGATGAATTATATCCGTCTGACTCCCTCCCATCTCTCTTCTCGCTGTATAAACCTCTCCTGGATGGAGGACCGCCGTGTGCGGAACCGTTGTTGCCCGCGGTGCTGCCTGTCGAAAGTGCCCCGGTCTTCTTGCTGCTCGGATAGCTTCCTCCTCGATCCCTGCTGTCATCAGGCGCCCTGGAGCGTTTCTTGATCGGCGATCGCTCCTTCCCCTTCATTTAAAAATAGTTGCAGGTTAAAAAAAAAACACTGAAACGCTTTGTAAATCCAATACAGCTGAAATGGATCTAATCTGCCTGAACTTTGAAGCTTTCAACAGTATTCCCTAGCGAGCGACGTAGGCGCCATGTTGGATAAGTTGCTCTACTGTACCGGAAGTCCCGCCTACTCTGTGTACAAGAAGCTGATTGGGTCTGTGGGTTATCAATCATGCAAGAAACAAAGCAGGTCGCCTATCAGAAACAGACGGGTGCGGCTCATGTTCATGGGTTAGACTTAGAGGACAAATCGACAGGCTGTAAATGGTATGAGAAACGGGGGGGGGGGGGGTTGTCATTGTGACAAACTGGAATACCAAGACATTTTTTATATCAGACCCTGAATTCACAATAGTCTACTTAATAACGCAGGTGAAGAAAAAAAAATGTTTTGCAACCAATAACATGACAGCCAGACAGTGTGGTGAACATTGTATTAGATTGTTTGTGCAGTGTGTGTGTGGGGGGGGGGACTAGCCGGGTTGAATTTAAAAAGGAGTGCAAGAAGTTAAAAAAAACACACTGGGAAAAAATGATGAGTTCAAGAAAATGGATTATGGAATTATGGATTATGGAATGTTTGCAAAATGAGATGAAGTCTCTTCCATGGTGATGCATATTGTCAGAACAGAAGATCTTTCAATGTAAAACGTGTTCCACACAGGAAGTACTTCATCCGGTTTGTAACTAGCACAAAGTTGACAGCCAGCGATCACAGCAGTGCTGTTCATTTCCTTGTCTGCCATGACACATTTATTAACTTTTTCCTGTGCAAATTGTTGAGCTGTATGGGGACTTTTTTGTTTGACAGTATGATGCTTATTCCAGGAAGGCAACGCCAGGCCTCAGTTTCCTGATATTATGGATTTGGAGTAGAAGTGTCTTTTCTACACTGGCTCACCAGCATTCCAGATGTATCTCATGAGGGGAAAATGAGAAAACAGTTTGTTTTCAAAGTTTACTCTCTACACCTTTTAAGAAGTTGTACTGTCAAGGAATAATAAGTGGCAAAAATAATCCATTGCTTTATCAGGGGAGGTGGCCTTAGCAGGCATCTAGGAGGGAATATAAGTCCTACGGAAGAAACTAATTATAACTCCACAAATTTTAACTTTATTACATTATGAAACTAAACATGAGATCAATCTTTTGTGTTCAATAGATAATTAATGTAATGCAAGTATTGTCAGTGAAAATGTAATATTAGTTTACCGACACTAGGGGGCAGAAATGTGTCTTAACAGCCACATGAGGAGCTCATCAGTCAGGAAGGACAAAGCTTTCAAAACTAAACAAAATTATATGTAATATCTGAATTAGAAGCATATCAAAGATGGTTTCTTTAATTATGGTTTGAAAAATAAACAAAGCATTTACCATCAAGCATCAAATAATTATTATTTATCTTTGCTCAATAACACAACAAAGTTTGTGAAATATTCAAAAAGGGAGGATTTGGACTGTTAATAATCCAAATGAAAATTATCTATAACTAATCTGGGAGTAGAGTAACAAATTCATTAATAAGGATAAACTATTTCAGTACAGTTTTTTATGCCAAGCCATCCTTGTTTTCCATAACAATGTAAGAAAGATAACATTTTTTTGTCTTGTTTCTTTTTTTCTGTATTTTTTCAGTGCTCCATCTGGACTGTGTTGTGTTTGCTGCCATTTAATCAGTGCTGCAGACCTTGATGGTACAGCTGGAGAAAATCACTCTCACCATCAAAGGTTATGCTGCTGAGAGTAGTGTGAAGTGGCCCTCATTGGTGTCTAAATTTCTAGTTTGTCCTGATGAAGCGTTGGCACAGAATCATTTGACATTTAGACAAACACAAACTGTGATCAAAATAAGAAACATAGGTCACATGTACCCATAATATTAATCCTGAAGTCTTTACTTAAACGGTTATTGATTGCATGATACTAAAATATTTTAGGACCTTTTTCTTACTGCTCTCCAAAATATTTTAACTTATTTTATCAATGACATTACGCAGCTGATCACAGGGCTGTGCTAAAGCCTGTTTCATCATTCCAAACACATCATGTGGGCTATTTGCTGATGTGTAGCATTCATTATTATTATTGATATAACACTATCTTAATAAGGCGTGTATGTAGGGCGCTCCTACTCGCAGGATTACGAGCTCTACAGCAGCAGGTGGAGAGGTGGTCCTCCAGTTATTCAGCTGCCAACAATGGGTTGCCAGTTATGAAAGTTTATTTTCTGATTGTGTTCATGCAAGCAGACAACACACAAAACAGAGGTCTGTGTTTGTGGCATATTGAGCTCAACAATCAGCCAAAACATATAAATGTATTTGATTTTTAAAAAAGTCCCCTTTGGAAAGCGTGGTTTAATGTTTTAGCTTCAGCTATTTTAAATTCATTGTGTGTGCTTTGCTTAACAACCAGTTTAAAGGGATTATCTTGTCATAAAAAATGGGAACAGGAACTCTGCCCTCGACCCTGTGAGTTGAACTGTCCCCTCTCTGAGTGGCCATCTGGTGGAGTTCCTCCATAGACAGTTTTTCGTTCCTCTGTAGACACAGCAGGGCAATCTGCCTCACCAGAATAGATAAATAAATTATATAAGAGGGGAAATTTGCTGGTGTTTTAAATCCGTCTCCAATATCCAGGTCATTTGTTTGTCGTCCTCAAATGGAGCAGCTACGTAAGTATTAATACATCATACAAACAGAGCTTGATTACCCATCAAGAAAGTAGCAACAGGGAATTATTCTGTTTTAATACAGCTGTACGTAATCATCAAATTTCATGGGCGTATAAAGATGAAAATATAATGCAGCAGATCGCGTGAAACTGCGTCAATAAATGTTTTTTCTTCTTCTACTGTTGTTTGTGAGCTGTCAGGAAATCTGCCAGGGATTAGTGAGGAAAAAACAGCTTTAACGGGTTTCTAATTTTGCAGCTAGCTGAACACTGACACACTGGCACGCTGTGTTTCATGAGAAACAGATGTTTGGGGACAGATCTGTTTTGGGATCTTGCCATTAACCTGCCAGGGGACAACCGGCCCTTTTCACCTGTCTAATCTGAACCTGGCTGTGATCAGGATGGATTCCCCTTCATGTTCGTGGAAAAGGGATCGTGAATCAAAATACACAAATTGTGAATAAATAACAAGAAAAAGTAAGACTGGAGCTCATTTCTTATCTGGAGATTCTGTTTAAAAAACTGGTGAGTGCAAGTTAGTCCAACGTGACCCACTTTCTCTCTTATCTGAACACCTGCATAACACCAGCATGTGCACGTGTAACAACAGTTTTCTGAAAAAGTATCAGGCATTTTGATGCTGTGACGCTGCTTCGACAGACAAAAGCTAAGGGTGCAGCATGTTTGCATCATTCTAATATTGTGTTAACAGTCAGGGCTCCCTTGCTAGAAAGTATAAAAAAAAACAGCAATGTCAGACATGAAGACTGGCACATATAGACATCAATTGCTTGTTTATTTACATTGGTAGAAATCATCGCACTGGGCGTATAGTGCATACGCAGTTTGTGGAGCGGTTATATGATACCATGGAGCAGAGTGCAGGATGAAGCTTTTTTTAGTAGCTGAGAGTGACCCAGACAGTGCAAACAGCACAAAGGAGGGAGGGAGGGAGGGAGGGAGAAGAAACAGATGGGGAGGGAGGAATATAAATGAGACAGGAGTAAGGGAAAAGTACTGGGCGGGTGTGGTGGTGCAGATGCAGAATGTATGAGCGTGTGCGAGTGTGTGATGGGGAGCAGAGAAGAAAGCTGGGCCCGCAAACCGGGCAGGGAGACAATGTGAAGTTAGAGACAACTGAAGGTGAACAGCAAAGGAGGAGCAACGTGCTGTGAGGGGGTGCTGACGTCAGGCAGAGAGGACCTCAAGATAAAAACAAATCCCATATAGAATATGTGAGATTTTAGGAACAGCTTATTTAAAAATCAAAGGAATGACAGTATTGAGTTAAATTAAGCAGACAGAGAGGGCCCGATTATATCTCACAGATCAAGACAAACATATAGGAGGAAACCCAAAGAACAGTTTAAAGACTGTCAGTCTTTAAACTGTCAGGAAATACTCTTACAGAAGCATATCATTTGGATCAGTATATACCAAATGCTATGTGGTGGTTCTGACTGGGAGCCATTAAAACTAAACATGTCACTGCTACTTCTTTGACACAACTGGAGAAAAAATGCCTTTTTTTGGCTGTTGGCATGCCAAAAATCGGCCTGCTGCTACCAGTAAGTGCAGTAACTACTGTGGAATGGCCCTTTAAAAGGAACTAGAACGTGAGATGGAACCATCCCAATGTTTCAGGTTTATCCCAAAAACAATTACAGTGTACTTAATTTGAGAGAAAACATCGTGATATTCTTAAGCTACCATTTGGTTCCTGATAAAAAACCTGAAGACAAACCCTACAGTCGCATAATGCTTTTGCAAAATAATATATATATATATATATATATATATATATATATATATATATATAGGTTTATATAAGGGTTTTGAGCTCACACATAGTCTCAAGGATGAGTAAACTGCAGCTTTTTCAACCCAAATGGGAACGTTGGGTCATCTGCTAACCAGCGAGGGCGGCAGCTCCCCTGCACCAACAGTCCCACAGGCCTGCAAGCAAGGCTGCTGATGCAGGCCGAATAATACACCCCAAAATGATCTGAGCGTGCCACTGAGTGGCACATTGGTGTCCAATTAGCAAATGCCCTGCAGCAGTTGGGACTGTGCTGCTTTGGTCAAGGACACTTTAGACTTTCATGGAAAATAAACAGAAAGGTTTCACAGTTGTCACCGATACAATGCGAGTCAGTCATACATAAAATGTCTTTCCTGTATTTTGTTTGAGGCCAGTCCTGTTAACTATCATCTACTATTAGAGGATTTAGCAAAAAAGTTGTTTAAGAAAACATGTGGGGGGGAAGCAAGGTACACATTCAGCATGAGATAACTTTACACTCCCAAAACTTTCTAAAACGAGAGTGGAAACTAGAGAACTGAGAATAAGGATGCAGAGGAAAGAGGAGATATCAGTGTTACATGACTACTTAAAAGATTTAAAAACAATCTCCCTCTAACTCTATCAAGATGCTATTTTAACTTCAGAGGCCTGAGCAGCCTATCACAAATCCAGGAAAGACAACGCAGAGATGAGACAAACTGTCATATGATCCTGAGGTTGCTGTGGCAACCGCTGCCGGTAGTGACCATGCGGAAGGTGTGAGCATCACTGACTGAAGACCTGCTGTAGGAATATCAGACCCACGACTGTACCTGGAAAGATGAAAGCAGAGGCTTTTGATTTAACCTGAGACACTCAGAGCCACACACCAGTACACAAAAAGGCAAGTGCACAAATTATGATCATGTGTGTCATCATATCTAAGTCATAATGTGCATTTTGTGCACAATGCTATGTTGATAATAAACTTTTAGAATAGAGAAGTTCAGTCTGTCAGAGCTACTTCATCTCACTTACCTACTCCTGTTTTCTATATCATTAAAAAAAACATCTCACAGGAGTTTGTGTATTTATCAGAGTCAGATGTGAGAGCATGTGATGAAACACATTTTATTACGATATCCAAGGTGGCAGACATGTCGCAGTAGGGAAGAAAATAAATCCATTGGGATAGAATGAAAAATGGCCTTTTGATATTATCTCCCTCCCCGGCCTGTGCAGCGTTAGAGGATATTCTGTGGGATGGATGCGGCGTGATTTATGGTCCCCTGGCTGACCGTGTCGTCTGCAGCCGTGTCACATGTCCAGCGCCTCAATAGAGCAGAGACCACCCAGTGCAAGTACAGAGACTTAAATCTTGATTAAATAGATTGAGTTTTCAGTGTGAGGTTATTAGAGTCCATGCTCAGACATGTGAAAAAGCATTTAATAAAAACTGTACACTTTCACGCCGACTTTGTTGGATTATATCTCAGTTCAATTCTATAAATCTGTTGTAACAATAATAGCAGCCATACAGCCTGTATGTTTGACAAAGGAGAGGAAGCAGCAGCCGTGGTAAGCTACAAAGTCTACCGAGGGAAGAGGTCATGGAGTATGAATGGGTCGGCAAAACGCGATGATATCTACAAAACACAGGGGACAGCTGCCTCTTTTCCGCTGCCTGTCAAACCTTCTCTGACTGAAAGTCCTCAAGCCATGACCAAAACCTAACTCAAGCAATCAGTTTCTGCCTCCCAGATCTAAACAACGTTGTTTAACCCTGCAAGTGGGCCAACAAACAAATGCACTTCTTTTACATTGAATCCCCTCTAAGATAAGTTCAGCAGTAGTTAAATTTCACCTTTGATTCCCAGAGCAAGCACAGCTGGAATCAGTGTGTTGATGATGTCAAACCAGCAATGACTGTGCGATATGGGGAAAAAGTCCTGGCCAAGCTGACCAAAGCAGAAAAATGTAATAAAGAATACAAGCCTAACGTCAGCCACATAACTAATACATAGATTACTCAATTTTAAAGGAAAAACCAAAATCATTAGATACTTAAAAGTCAAAACCAAATGACCCCAAGTCCGTTTGTTACAATTGTAACCTGACTGTGTGCAGTATAGTTTATTAATTTAAAAATGGTCAGGGAAAGATGCATCCAAATTTTTACGCTTTGAGTTAGTAGAGTTTTAATAAAGTATTTTACTGCAACATAATGAGTAAATGTTTGTCTCCATGAACCTCAATCTTTTATTGAAACATTTTAAGCTTCAGCTAATTGAATTCATGCTCACACACATAGCTAAACCCAAATATAAGAAATAGTTCCAAATGGCTTATGTCAGGAAATCGTAGTTCTACGAATGACAGAAGTAAGAGCTGGCAATGACATGTTAACTATACAAGTGGGCACTATAACATGAATCTGTTATTTCCCATGGAGAATCTGACAGTGGTGGCACTATAAATGGGTTTACCTGCTCCAAAATACATGCCAAAAACGTGTCTTACAGTGCAGCCAGCGTTGAATGGCCTACAATTTCTTTTTATCAATCAACTGAAACCCGATTGACGAAACCTGCGCCAGACAGACAGCGAAACGCTTCCTCGGGGTAGGATAACCTTGACACATGGGCGCTCAGTTTGGACCCTTTCCTCTCTTATTTTACACGCAGAGGTGCTGTGCTGATGTTCAAACTAGTGACCGAGCAGCGGCTGCTGCTTCGCTTATGACGAGCGCCACTTCGTGCGTCACGGTGCGCTCCGGACTCTCCACCCTGCATTTTAATTGTTGGCGGCTCGGCATGTGATGCTCCGTCCCCTCACTGTCCTGTGCACGTTCACGTTCACTCAGGACCACAACTACGCGCGCGCGCTGCAGCTGGCTCTGATGCGTCCGTGCATTTCTGCACCTATATGATCCACCAACAGCGTCCACTTTAAAGGCTGGAGATTTGCTGATCGCCACTCCAGAGTCCCGGTAAGAAAAGCTGGATCCTGTGCTCATTTCTCTGAATGCACACCAGGACCCCAACGATGCTGTCACACCGCTGAAGTTCACCAGGCTGTTTAAAGAGTTTAGTCTACGCAGAAATGGTGCAGCTTGTGTGTTCGAGTCTGAATGTGTGTTAAAGAGTGAAACGTGGTTCTGTTGGAGCAGAGATCAGGGAATAATTCCATGTGACCTTGAACGTGTGTAGGCTGCTGAGGAGTCCTCTTGTCTTTGCATTGAGTGACCTGTGTCCTGCTGTGTCCACGCTGTCCAGGTGCCGTCTTTTTTTCCCAGCCCACAGCTGCCATGCGCAGTTAAAACAGATGTTCTCTTTTTGCTTGAAAAAGCGTGAATTGTTTGTCAGTTTGCATGATGGATAGGCTGTTATCACTAAATCAGCTGGAACAGCCTTTGAACTGCTGACACTTTCTTAGACTTTACAGCACTTTTTCTTTTCATCAAAGCAGTCACTGATTGATGAACAAGTTTTAAGCAGGACTGATTACACATGGCTGCTGCATGCTGGTGACACGCAAGGTGGTCAGAAACCAGTGAAAGTGACCATCAATCACTGGCAACCAAATCCGTTAAATGCACCTTTCAGTTGGAATGGGACGTCCACTGTTTGTTTTTGTTTTGTTTTTTGATGGAATATAACCCTCTGGATGCAATGTTTGTGATATTAGCATTTGATAGTAACAAGATTGTTTCAGTTTAAAGTTAAAAATGCAGTCTTACATTCTAATTGTGAAGTGTTCATTTAAAGTAAATCCTATTTGTGGTTGCTGTGGACCAAAGTGTGTCTTAAAGAAAGTGACAAAGGGAAGTTTGGTGCCATGTTGTTAATGCAATTTGAACAGTTGTTTTGAGAATTGTTTCAGTGACCCCCCTTTTGAACTAAAATTCCAAATATTCCCTTTTGCCCAGTATCTTTTTGAGACGGTACCTTTTCTTATTTATGAAACTATCGGTGGGTAAACTGATCGATGGGGTTTGGACTGTTTGTCGAAAGACAAAACAACCATTTTTACCAAGTCACCTTTCTTCACCTTTGGGGATTTGTGAGGGGCAGTTTTTGGCTTAATCAAGAAAATAATTATCGCACTAACTGATTATGAATGAGGGCGTATTAGAATTATTGAGTGCATTCACTCTCTGCAATAATACGGACTCACAGGCAAGGACAACCTGCGCTTTTCAAGATATGGAAGTGTGGAGTTTTGCCTGAAATATTTACTCAGAATTTTCATTTACAATTTCTTCCTTTATTCTGCTGTCATTTGCAAGCACTTATATGAAAGTCGAGGCAGAATTTAAAATTATGCAGAATAAGGTCTTGAAGAAGGAATAAGCGTATACATATTTCAGGCGTATTACATCTGACTTGTGCTTAAGGAATTCACTTAAAAGGCAAATGACTGAGAGGATAAATAAGTCTCTGTGGCCTTTACTGTATGAAACCACTTTGTGCTGACTGACCGTATTGACTTGGGTCCTGTAAACTGTGAGTTGATTTTGTTTTTCCAGAAGGATTATTGGTTGGGTGCCTGGCAGGATGATGCAGCAGCTGATTGATATTGCGTGTCTTGTGCTCTGTGGAGTTGGGCTGAATGACAAAACGGACGCGCGGCACTGGGGGTTTTATAGTTAATGCACACAGGATTAAAAAGACTTGTGAATGGCTGGTGGATTATTACATCATGGGTTCATCTTGACATGTACGAAGGAGGAAATCCGATTTTTAAAGCCGAGAAAAAAAAGCACATCATACAATTTGTAACTTTCATGTTTTTTTTTTCTAAGAGGAACTGTGGAACATCTCTGTTATTTCTGCTAATGGGAAAGACCTCGTTTTCAGCTAAAGTATGCAGCGAGAGCTTTGGTGATGATGACGATGTGCGTCAGTAGTTTAACACAGCATGTAGGGTCTTTGTTTCTAGCTTCAGAAATATACTGTTTCCCCGAAGTCACCATAGATTTTTGTATTTCGTTTCGCTCCTTAATTAGTTTTTTTGCTGTGTTTTAACTGAAGGGTTTTATAACAGAGAAACAGCTCACTCAATAAGTAATGAACCTACCGAGGGGCCTGCGATGTGGATGAGGAGAGCATGTGAGGGCACTTTATCCCAAGCATCATGTTAACTTCCTCTGTTAGGTTTGGGCTGAACCAACCACTCGCTGAAAGAGGGGTCGGGATGGATGTTGCTGAGAGGCTTCAAAGGATTATGGGATTTGCAGAAAAAAAAAGCATCACTAAAAGTTAAGCTTTGCAGAGGAAGGGAATTTAAAAGGAACCATTTGCAGAATTGGAGAGTTTTTGGAACAGAGCATTTTTGCGTTAGAGAGTAAGAGTCAGGAGGGATTTAGTTAACACACCGGTGTGAAAAATGCTCTCCTGTCTTTGTGTGGGCATCTTTCATGACTCTGGAGAAACATAACCATGTGTTAAAGCCCAGTGTTTTATTACAAGCTTAACCAAGCATTAAATGGAGGAATAATGGAGTCAGCCACTGTGTGAAGTGTCACTTAAAGACCACAGGCAGGAAATAATGACATGAAATGACTATGTCCACCTATTTTTCATGAAAATAATTATCGCTCAGTAAAAGCTTGTCATGGCAACTTAACTAGATAATGTTGCTGAAACCCAATTTCCAAATGGATCTTTCTGTTTTGTTTTTTTGTTCCTGATGCAGGACTGAATTCCCGAAGAAAAATCCATCTCTCCACACTTTACGTTGCATCCCTTTCTTCTCCAGTCTGTGCTTCTATCACTGTTTTTCTGTTCCACCCAGTCTCTGTCTCTTATTTCCTCCATCCACCCCCCACCCCCTCCCAAATCTCAGCCTCCCTGATGCCTAAGAACAGCAAGGTGACACAGCGCGAGCAGAGCCATGAGCACGTCACAGAGTCTGTGGCTGACCTGCTCGCACACGAGGAGCCGCTCGACTACAAGAGCAGCTCCCTGAACGTCGGGCCAGCGGCAGGGAAGAAAGTTCCCCAGATAGAAGTACCTGAAAATGACGGGCGACCCGCATGGAACAGCAAACTGCAGTACATCCTGGCCCAGGTGGGCTTCTCTGTGGGCCTGGGGAACGTGTGGCGCTTCCCATACCTGTGCCAAAAGAATGGAGGAGGTGAGCGGGGGAGGGGGTTACAATGTAAGTCATTACACTGTCATCAGAACCAGAGTCATTACATTGTCATTACATTAAATAGAAGGTTTTAAAGAAGAGCAAATTACAGTCATCCACTTTATCTCCAATATGTTCTCTTTAATCAAGAAAATATCTTCTTTTTTTTACCAAATTCCACATTTACCTTTTGATCATTACCTGTTTCCTCCTCTGATTACCATTCTCCAGCCACTGTCTGCTTTCAGTTCATACTGGAACAGCATTCCTCAATCATACTCATTTTCAGATGGGCCACAATAAATGAAAAATCTTCTTCAAAAATTCACTCGGAAAAAATTGTTTTCAATTCATAAAGTAAATTTGAATTTACATCTATTGTGTTGTCAGCGAACCATAGAAATATAGCAGGGAAGTCCAGGAGATCCTCTTTATCAAAATGTCTAAACAATTCCCTGTGATGTTATTTCTAATTTAAGGATGAAGGAAATTTGACTTTAAGCTTGGCAAAAGTGACACTTATGTAGATTAACTCCATCACTGAACAGTTAAACTAAATAAACCAAATACAATTTAGAGCATCTGCTTGTCCATTCATGAAAATCAAGAATGAGGTTATCCTCTTGTTTCCTAACAACGATATTTATAGAACAGGTACAACAGGCTTTCCCTGTCCTGAAAATCCAGTTTCACTCTTCTTCCTCCTCAATGTGTCGATGTGTTGGGAAATATTCACGGCACGGTACGGTAATTAGGGAAGTTACCTCGGGACCTTTGCACAGATGGAAAGGCTGAACGGGCCCTGTTATTTCTGGTTCTGTGTGAAGACGGTAAACAATCAATGTAAAACGTCAGTAAATTGGGTCAGAAATTCAGGTTGAGATTGCAAATTTCAGGACAAAGATGCCCTTGTGCTGTAGTAATGGAAACGAAAGGAAAGGAGGAGTAACTCCTCAGATGGCAGAAAATGTCAGCGAAAGATGTTATCAGACCGACGTTAACACTGGGGTTAAAATCACAAACTATAGTCTGCAGACAAATGGAAACCTGTCTCTTTTAAGGCAAAAGTCACAGTAGGTCAATGCAAAGTTGTCCTGTGTCATCAATTTGATCGCACAATTGCATTTTTCCATCCTGATAAAGTTATCTGTTTCAAGGTGACAGTGGCCCCATCTATAGGGCGTGAGTGGTCACTCGTGCTTTGTTGTGATTAAAAATGATGTGAATGACATGTTGAGCTCTTTTCAAACATCGGATCGCCACCCATTTGAAACGCCCCTAAAACATTTTGAGACAATTGTGTCAATTTTGCACGTAAATGGTCACAACTTCCTGTTTGAGTGCGGAAAGTGCCCTCCACCATTCAAAACAAAGCCCCTTCGCTCAGTGCACAACTGCCAAGAGAGCAGCTGTATTGTGCCGAAAAGTCTAAAAATAGCACTATTGATTACTACAGCTGGCAGGGCAGTCTGAACTCAACTGATACTCCAGTAAACAGAGAAAAGCAGTCGCAAAGAGATGAATGTTAGCTCAGGGATGAGGTTTTATTTTTCCCTGGGATGCTTGTATGTTAGTGGAGGCAAACACAATGTAAATCTTTGTTCACTGTCCGGATAAACACCTCTGATTCAGTCGATCTAAATGTCTCCGGCTTTTTTGTTTTTCGTGCCTCTGTGACGGATTTGTTGCCAGTCGGCAGGATCCAAAAGTCTGCCCTCCAGGCTTGGCGGGCCGTGCCACCTGGCAACAAGCCATTTATCACTGTGTAATTTGCTGCCTTACAGCCAATTACCAACACATTTAATAGCTTGTGTTTTTTCGGATTTTATCACTGTGTGGGTCCCCCCCTCATTTGCTCTTCATCCTTTTCATCGCCCCGTCCCTATTTCAGTGCCCGCTATCATTCCTCCTCGCTTGTCTTTATGCTTGGCTTCAGGTGTCATATATCACTTCTTCTATAGCTGGTTCCATTTTAAGAAGGATGTAATGGAGTGCATTCACTTGAAGCTGATTTAAGGATCCAGGCTAAAAATTGAGAACTCTTCACTGCATTCACCGTCTCTTGATTTAGTGGCTAAATCTCTCTGTCTCATTACTCCGCCCACTCTGAGATGTCTGTGTCACCAAATTTAATTCCAACTTTTGATGTATTAATAGTACAGTTACGCCTGCAATAAGTCTTCATAATCTACAAGATTACTTCCTTTTTGCACATAAAACATTTTTGCATCTTGTTGAGCTCAAAGGGTACAAATTTAGACCTCTGCTAAAATCAGACTCAAAGGATATTTATCAATAGGCTTTCCAAAATTAATCACATTCTTCAAGATAGCTCATACTAATGTCAACAAAGATATATTTTAAAATAGATTCAAATCTTCCATGACATATTACTCTGTTTGCATCTTTTTCAGGTGCCTATTTGGTTCCTTACTTCATCCTCCTCCTCATCATCGGCGTCCCACTCTTCTTTTTGGAGCTGGCAGTGGGTCAGAAGATCCGACGTGGGAGCATCGGGGTGTGGAACTATGTGTGTCCCCATCTGGGTGGGATAGGGATGTCAAGCTTGATGGTAAGGATGTCTTTTTTTTTGTCCTTTACTCAGCACTTTTCCTTTGCTCACACCCAATCCCAATATTTACACTGCAGACAACACTACCTTGGGTTGTTGCTTTAGAATAGCACCCAGAAAAGCAGCTTGACAGTTGCGTGAGGAAAAGTGTGGGTGCTCTGTTACGAATACTAGGAGGTTGTGGCAGGGTAACAGCGGTCTGGTCCTGCTGTTATACAGATATACATGCTGAATGTGCTCCGTTATCAGGATGCAGCCAAAAGCCAGAGGTGTGTTTAGACTGCTGCCCAGTTCACAAACATGAAACGGTCCTCCGAGTGCAAACCAGACGCGAAGGCGTGTATCTGCAGAACGTTTGTCGAGCGTCAAACCACTCCTCTGTTCTATTGTCCTGTGTCTTACAAAGATTAAAATTACACACAGAGATCTTTTTAACTTATCGCACCCACATTGATTTTGTCTAATGCCAGTTTATTGCTTTTCTTGGCCCCAAATTTTTTTTTTGTCAAGGCCTCTTTTCAGCAGGCCTAAGTCACAAAGTTAATCATGTGTTGTATCAGCACGGCAGATATATATAGATATAGATATATAGATATAGATAGACAAAGTGGCTGCTCCTCAGGAGTAGGTGTGGTCATCTCCCTATTAAAAGATTTTCTCTCCATCCTATGTCAAGATCCGTGAGCAATATACTGAACCATTACACTGTCTGGGTGTGCTCATGAGCCTATGACTGTAGAGAGAGGAGCTCTGCCTACAAGGAGGGTGTTTTTACATTGAGAAGTGCTGAATAACGGTTTAAATTTCTGTTACATGTTTACTAGGTTGGATATTGAATACCCTCTCCCAAGTATTTCCTTTGAACTGGTACACTCACTGGTTGTGTATGTGGGGTACATTGTACTGATACGATGTATACCACCACAGGGCTTTACTGGGTTTTTGGAGTGTCATTGACATGTTTGAGAGGGAATTTGAGCCTTTTCTTCAAAGTTGCATGACTCTTGCAGAAAGAGCTATAAATACCTCAGAGAATATCACGGCTGAAAAGAGAGCACTTTAATTATTCATGCTATCCTCAACCTTATTTGGAGTCTCAACGTCCTTGCTGGCAAGACTGCTAAGAAGACTGACGGCGTCATGGGACATGCACAAAGCAGGAAGCCTTATTTGCATGCTGCTCTCATTTTACACAGATGTTGTTCTGCGAAGAGACGATGTTGTGGAGCTTAACATCATATGGTGCATGCTGCCTGTTTACCTCACATAGAAGGAGGAATGCGGCCAAGTGCCATGAAACAAATGAAATGTCTATTCCTAACTTTCTATCTATCTATCTATCTATCTATCTATCTATCTATCTATCTATCT